ATTGTTTGATTTTACAAATGGCTACGTAAACAATTCTCCTACGCACAAATAGAAATTTAAATATACGTCGGCACGGGTTACATATTTCACTTACCGAAGGATATTTCATCGACCTCTTAGACTTTGCAGATTAAATTCCAATGAATTCTCAAACGACGCGTTCACCGAATTATTACTTCTTACAAAATGCAATGCCTCTTTTTGTTTCTTTATTGTGCAATTATTAAAAGAATGCCTAATATTTTTACAGATTATTTACAAGTTTGTAAATATTATCTTAATTGGAATGACTCGTTTGTTATTTAATTCCGTATACGTACGTTTGAGAGAGAGAGAGAGAGAGAGAGAGAGAGAGAAATGAATGAAAGAAAAAAAAAGAAACAAAATTATAATCCATTCGTTAGAAGAGTATCAAAAAAGTTTGTGAAATTAAAAATGATATACATTTCCATTAATAATAAATACATAGACAGACGATATTTTCAAAAGGCTGTTATTCTTATTGTTTTCATAACTGTCAACAACAAGATAACTTTGTTGCAATAGATGAATCTCGATGCATGATATGAATAACGAGAAATAATCAATTAAACTGTATACATATATAGCATGTGAAACATACCATCGTATAAAGGATTAATTGACCTACTTTTTCGAGTATTAAACTGCAGATTATTCTAGTGCTTTGACATTCTTTCACCCTCCTATGTAACGGTAGATTAAATTTTAAAGGATATGAAAAAATTTAGTAGAAAAAATATGTATGATAAAAAAGAATTAACAAACACGAATAATGGAGAAAAAGAGCAACTGAAAATTAACATAACCCTTTAAGTATTCGAAAGAGAGAGAGAGAGAGAGAGAGAGAGAGCGAGTTTACAGTTTTTATGCTACAAACAAATTAATAATTTTTAATGTTCAAATAAAGAAAAATGCGAAAGTAGTACGTATAAAATTATATATAAACGGCTTTAATAAACATTACCTCGTAGTTCTTTTTATCACGGTGATCTTAAACATTGCACATTAATTTCCAGTAACTTATAGCTGCATAACTAGCTGAATAAGCGAACAATAATATTGTGCTTCAGATCGGTGTACTTTCAAAACATAAGTTAGTAAAATATTTTCATCTATTGACCAAGCATTTGCTTTTACGAAGATAGACGTAGTAGAATAAAAAAAAAAAAAAAAAAAAAAAAAAACAGGAAGGAGGAAGAGCATTGAAAATCACGGATTAAGCCGTTGCACAAGCAAATAATGAAGGTGCATGCGGATACACAAAGCATTATGATTATTCAATAAACTAAGTTGGATTTGCGGTAAATTTGCCGAAGGCTGGAAGCAGCTTTTCATTTGGTGGCGTTCTAATAAAAAATACTAAATAAAGAAAAAAAAAACGACGAGCGGTAGATGAATTTTTCGGTGAACTGATTATTTATTAGTAATGATAATCGGCTAAGTATAGTTTATCGATAAGTGCTCAACAGACGCTGCCGCCGTACAATTCTTCCAAGTAGGTCGGAATGTATATGTATAGAAGCGCGGACGACTGATTTTGGATGATCGCCGTGAATTCTGATCACTTGTATCTCCCAATGCACAATTTTTCATTTCCTTAAGAATCTATCGTTTTGACGAAAAATCTATCGCCCTACAAATAATAATTACCAGCATTAAATTCGTGCACAAGTGCTTTACTTCACAGGTGCATTATAATAATGCAAATTTCTTCTTTACCAATAACAAACAGAAACTATTTGCCCACTTTGAATATATAAACATAAATATTACAAGTGAATTAATGTAGTGTTATTATTTAGAAGTTATTTTTCACGACATTAGTTATTCTCACACAATACACTAAGAAAATAAGCAAATAGGCACGTTCTTGACTACGCTTTGTATTATTTGAATAAATTATGCTAAAAACAAGCTATATGACAAATATATATCTAGCAGCGCTATGAAGTCACGATATTACGATAATATATATATTTACATTTATAAATACATAATATAAAATCATTTTTGAAATAATTTTAACTGAAATACTACTTAATATACGTATTAAACTAAAATGTTAAATATTTTGATAGTGACGTTTACAATTTTCATTCATACTACGTCGAATTTTCATGCTTTCAAAATAAATATACGATAAATGCATTTTAAATTTCAAATTCTCAGTAATAATTATTTATCTAAATGTTAATGATCTTAATCATACTATCATACGACGATTATTCAGTAAATAGAAATATTAACTTGAAAGCACTATTGAATTTGAAAAAGTGATTTACTCGTTTATTTAATTCATCGAATAAAATACAAAGTAAATCTAATATAAGTATAATTAAACTCAACTACTTAATGGTAAACTAACATAAAGTCTTTTTGAAAAGTACGATTACGTTATCTGGAATATTACGAATTATTTGAAAAATCTTAACAATATGTGCTTTATTATAATTCTAATAACAACAGCTTAATTCACAAAATTTCATTATCTATAATAATATATCTCACGTTTTCTTAAAAATAAACTAATAGATTCTATGAACCAATAGAAACAGATAAATTGAATGAATTTGTTAAAAAAAAAAAAAAAAAAAAAAAAAAAAAAAAATTCATTTTTATTCAAGCGAAATTCAATGAATTTTGATACATATTTGTGCAATTATGATCATTAATCATAAAAGAAAACAAATGATTGCTAGCCAGAAAAATTGATTGTTACATTTGATAATGATTTGATCATTATCGTTAAAATATATAACATATTACGAATGAACATATGCTTTTCAGTGAAATTTGATTAATTATATACGTATAATAAATATCTATAGAACTTCATAATGTATTTTCTTATTTTGGCACTCGATTCCATTAGAAATATAACAAATATATCTATTACACAATTAATAATTCTGTATATACTTAAGTATTGAATAACACTTGAAAGATCCCAAATAAACAAACTTAATTAATATTTTCATATTTGTAAATAATTAATAGGCAATTATGTGCTTAAAAAATATTTTATACTAAAAATATTATTAACAATATATACTTTTAAGTTTGTGCCATAAATTTTTTACAAACAGCCATTTTTTTCCCATAAATAGTTATTTTATTTGTATATGTACAAATTTATTGTATTTAATAATAACAGAGATCTATTATTTCACCTTTAATATATATATATATATATATATATATATATATTATTTACGCTTATATTTATTTAATGATTTTTTTCGAACAAAAAGAAGTTTTTTTAATACAACTTTTGTATACAAATTAACTTTAATTATACATTATATATTTATTATATGTTAAAAACAAATGTTTAAATCACCGATAGATTTATAGATTGATTAAAAAATTTATTTAAAAAATAATAGTTAAGAATTTCTTTTAAATTATTGGAATATATTGAATTTCTCTCTTTTTTTATCTGAAAACATTGACATTTTTACTGAAAAATTCATTCATTCGCTTTTGGCGAATGCAATTTCTAACAGTTTTATTTCTTATAATTATTAAATAATACTGTGAAATAATGAGTGCTAATTATCAGTAAATAAATAAAAGAATGAAGAAACAAATATTGTTGCTTAAAGAAATAAAAATTTCATGTTATTGCTTACTTCTGCTAAGGATACAACACATTTACAAAAGATATTTGCAAAGTTTAGAAAGGTGTTTAATTTAATCCTTAATAATAATAAGCAATTCTCTTAATTATATCTGAGTGCATGGTGATCCGAGATAATCCATGCATACGAGAATAATGAAGGTTAAATTTACAAGAGGGAAATCTATAAGTCTTTGTTCTTATTAATGTATGAGAAAACCGAGTTCCAAGTAATGCATATCTATTTATTGAAGTATTGTTATTTTATTATAATAAGCAATGATGGCTGGTATTAGCATAGATACAAGTCATTGTTACATTACAGTTAACTAAAGTTTTATTTGTATAAATTAAAATTACTCTTTTAAATAATAATAAATAAATTTAAAAGTCATATGGAGAAAAGTAAATTGGATGCTATTTTAAGTAAATTTATCTATTTTATAAAATCCGACGGTATTTCCGGATAATGTGAATTAGTACGCATTACATGATGGTAAAGAATTCAATATTAAGCGAGATTTTCATTAGATTATTATTAGGTCATGACATGACAATATTCTTGATATAATTCCTACGTAATAAAATATTAATATATTTGAAACTCTCGAGTATCAGTATTTAAATCAAAACAGTAAACGCAGCGTCTACGTTTTTGACAGACATTATTTGCGCACGATACCATGTCCGTTGCCTCCATCTCGTATTTTATGTTTACACTGATAACTTATGCAATGGAATACATATTTATAATCTCTTCTACTTTGCTTCTCTTCCTGTAATTTAATTTTTCTTATGAGATGTAAACAGTTCAAGTGTGTAATTTAAAATGAATTATTCGACACATTATTTTTTTGGTTACTCTGCAGTATTGATTTCTAGAGAAGCTTATCTAGCGTAGATAATCACTTATAAAAAACAAAAAACAATGATTGAAAAACTAGTATAATTTTATTTTTTATTATTATATCATATTCAATTTATGATTATAATCACAAGACATATCTTTATGTAAATATGCAGATATGTAACTAATCGAAAATTTTAATAACAATTAATTTCTTTGTCTGGTATCAACATTTGTATATAAAGTGTGTGTGTGTGTGCGAGCGCATATGGGTGTGTAGGTGTGTGGGTGGGTGTATGTGTGTGGGTTATTCTAATGAATTTCTATTATTAATTTAATCAATAGGTAATGGATCACATTAAAACTGATCATTTTTCATGCAAATTAAAAGAATACCGCTATATTTTTTTAATTATATATATTGAATCTAATTAAAAGTTAAAAAATATTTATTTTTCCATACGTCAAGGTTTAAACTATTTTATTATGATATTTTTAATAATATTTTTACAGGTATGAGCGGTTACTCAGACGTGCCAAAATGGAAGATCTTACCGAGGTCTCCGGAATTGGTTGTCTTTATCAAAGTGGAGTCGATCGGCATGGACGACCAGTGGTTGTCTTTTTGGGCAAATGGTTCCCAGTTAATAACCTGAATCTTGATAAGGTGACGATTGTATTAATTATGTGGTAACATAAATTAATTGTAAACTGCATATTATGACAATTGTATTATATCATTAAATTTTCAATCGTTTGATCGTATCATCGTAAAATCGTATTAATTATATGAAATTCCTATGAAATGTATATTATGCTGCGCTACGATTATAAAATAATACAAAAAATTAAACGGATTAAAATTAACCTTTGATTTTTAAAACGGGACTTATTTTCAATGCTTTCCAATTAAGAACAATTATCATTCATACATTTAATTAATTTAATTAATTTAATATTATGGATACTGATTTGTATAAAACAATAAAAATAAAATAATAAAAATAATTCACTTAAGGTTTTCAGGAAGCATTATAGAAAAATGTTTATATTTACAATCGTTGAGATTTGTATTAATTTTTGAAATGTGAATATTCATTGCTCAATAATATTACATCTCATCATTTAAAAGCAATTTATTTTGTCTATTCAATATTATTATATATATATATATATATATATATATATATATATATTTAATCTCTTAATTTTCAATATAAATAAATTATAAAGATGTGAAAATATGCTTAAAAAAGAACAGATCGTTATATCGCAAATATGAAATCGACCATTCGAGGCCGTGGAAATTAACGTCTACGTTAAATCACAAGGCTTTCAAGGTCGTATTAAGAGTGTAAAACTTAGATACAAGTGTAAAATGTCATTACAAAATTAAATTGCTCACTGTTTCTAGCCAAGGAGTAAGAAAGAGCGTAGAAAAAGTAGTTAAAACAGAAAAAAAGATGTGTCTTCAAAATTAGGTCGAGTTCAGTATAGTAAGTAAATTTGAAACGGACTTTGTTAAATAAAAACAATAAAATAGAGTGCTATTTGCACCATTATTTACAGTATTAGAATGTCGTTTTATTATGTCAAATTTAGAATATATAATACATCTATATTATTTATACTTAATTTTCATTTACTATGAAGATATTTATAGTACCATTAATAATTATAACAATAATTAATATAAAGTTAATCACAACTAAAATTTAATGTAAAATAATTTATAAATGTAGGACATTAATTATTGACAAATTTGTTCAAGACAATCCATAAATAATGAACACTGTATTATTAATATTCGCAACAAAAATTATAACTCTTTAAATTATTAAATTAGTAGCCAAATTAATAGTAATATGCACAAGGATAATGATCTAATGATCGGAATAAATTAAAGTAAATGGATTTATGCTTCTGCATCACTAATTACTAAGCATCGTTAATGACAATTCGTATTATTGTATATTAAAAGGAATCTGGATATAAGAATGGTGACAAAAACGATAAAATATTGCAATAGGTAGGGATGCCATTGGTAAAGGACAAAATAAGTAATGAGGGAGTTAGTAAGAGCGAGTGAATGAGTCAGTGGGTGAGCGAGCAAGAGTGTATATGCGTGTGCCCGTGCGTGCGTGCGCGCGTGTGTGTATGCACCTAAGAGAGAGAGAGAGAGAGAGAGAGAGAGAGAGATAACAAGTGAGTGTGTGAAAGAGAAAGAAAGTATAACTAAATGTTCTCACGCGGCGGCAAATCGATTTGCACAAGTCTGGAAATAGACCGTGGCGCAAGGCCGGTGGCATGTCCATCTGCAAATTCTATTTCATCAAGTAAACAGCCATCTTGTCATTTTTGCAACGCATCTTGAAATGAAACTTAATACCGTAATGTTTTCTTTATCGAAACAGTTAAATCATCAATATTTTCGTGTTTAATTCGGTGTTTTAATAAGCTCAGCTGATCAGCTGCATCCAACGACTTTTATTCATTTATAATTTAATGTTTAGAACAAGTCATTCGTGTAATAACTCATGGAATATTATAAATTTATTTTAATTTAAGAATATGATAAGTGATTTATATTTTAAAGAAAACATCAAAAATAACTATAACTGCTAATCACAATGTAAAAATATTTAAATTACAAACTGCATTCATAATTTACTTGTTACTTTGATTATTAATAAGATATTCGTTTCATGGCGAATTTCCTAATAAATTATATAATACTTTATTCGAAAAAACAAAATACTTAATCTAATTAAATGTCGAAATTAATTAAATAATAACCTTATAAATGACAATAATAATTTAGATGTAAAAATATATACAGAAAAGTCAAATAAAACGAATAATTACTATTTTATATCCATATGGATTTATTAATTATAATAATTTCAAATGAATTTTCCATAATCGATATATTGTTTAATTTTTTCCCCAGGCCTTATTGTACCTGATACAGTTACTAGATCCAATTGTTAAAGGAGACTATGTGATCGCCTACTTTCATACCTTGACGGTTAGCAGTAATTATCCAAGTTTACACTGGTTAAAAGAAGTTTACAACGTACTTCCTTATAAGTAAGTTATTTACCTTATTATCTGAATTTTTAAATGAATTGATTATAAAGATGACAAAATCGATGATAAAGTACCGCATGAAAACATGAACTTTACTTATTTTCATAGATACAAGAAGAACTTGAAACAATTTTATATCATTCATCCAACATTTTGGACCAAGGTACGTACATATAGTAAACATAAACGTAATGTCGATACGGAAGTCAAAATATTTTAATATAACCTTTATTCTTACATTATTATTACATCTTTAAAGCGGGTAATATTAATAATCATGCGTTTACGAAGGCACCGTTTGTACTAATTGTGTCAATTACGAATGTATAATTTTCTCCAATTTTCCGTCCATTTTTAGCTTTCAAAATCGCCCTCATTATAACCAAAGCACTCTGTCCTCAGTTTTATATTGTAAATTCGGTAACTTAAGTATATGTATATGTATATGTAGTATATGTATTATTAAAACTATTATCTTATTATCGATTTTATAATTAAATCTCAATTAATGATTGTATTGAGCACTACATTTTTAATAATTTTTTCCTCTAATCTATAATAATTACATACAAATGAATTTATATTGTTAAAAGCTTTGGAGTATGATTTTATTGTAGAAAAAATGTCTGTCTGCATATATCAATGGAATATTTTAAGAAAAATTTTCAAATGATATTTTATAAAAATAATCTTACTATAAAACAAGTGCTTAGTAATTTTTTTTACATCGTATATTCCGTATATACAGATTATAATATAAATGCTAATAGACACTAATTGAGATTGATTAAATCAATTGAACATCAAACTATTTGGTGTCAATGGACGAACTATTAGGCAAGTATGTAGCAGTCAATAGTAGGTAGGTTATATGCATTTATGTAATTGATAATCATTTTTAGATGATGACCTGGTGGTTTACGACTTTCATGGCTCCGGCAATCAAACAAAAAGTTCACAATCTACCAGGAGTTGAATACCTTTATGAAGTTATGTCACCCGATCAACTTGAAATACCTGCTTATATTACGGAATATGATATGACGGTAATGAATTACATATGGTATAATGAAAAATGCTAAACATACAAATTTATGTAAAAAATATTTAATACAGTCGTAGAATACCTGTATTAAAAGTGCCATTTTTTGTAATAACAAAGTTGCCTATGAAATATTTATCATAATTCGCTAATCATTTATTATTAAAAGATGGTATAATTTGAATTTCAATATATTTTTGTAAGTCAAATATTATATTTATTAATTTTTATGTTTAAAACTGTTTTTATATATTCTGATTTATATTTCGTTTATGTGTTTGATTGAGTAATCTCAGCAACTTTATATTACATTGTATTGTGTTTCATTGATTGTAAAAGACATAAAATATTATTTTCAACGATTAAAATTAACAGCAAAATTGTGACATTCGAGTATTAATTCCATGGTCATATTAATTTAATGTTTATAGATAAACGGGTTGAGGTACTACCAACCAAATCAATACTCGCAAGCTTCCACGTAACTGCCGGCCGCAATCCTCGTCTAAGACGAAACTAAAACTCCTCAACGTGGGACAATATCCCTTGGCCGTCACGCATCTCGCCTACGTTATCCTTCGTCATTGGCGTTACCGAGCTATAAGAGCTATTACTGTCATCGCTAAAAGAAGAACAATAATATCGATTGAGTAATTGTGATATAGATATGCTCGGGTACCATAAAGTCTGGCTTGTCGAGTTAACTAAGCGAATTTAAGGGCGAAAATAAAAATGCACACAGGTATATATGCATAGACGAGGATGTGGCTGTAGATGAAATATTTATCGATTGTCCCATAAATAAGTACACGAGTAAATAAAAGGGAATTAAAATTAATAGCCGAAAATAATGAAGGGCTAAGTGTCAAAGACAAATTTCTTACATTAAAATCCGTGAATGCAACACATTAGATCATGTTACAGAATCCAATTTATAATACTGATTTTCTTTAATTTGCAGTGCTGTACATGACTACAATCATAAACATTATTAAATATTGATTTTCTATAAGCATTGACATACACATTTCCAAATCTATTAGATTGGAGATACCGTGAATATAGAAGTATGAAAATAGAATAACAGAACTTTCCTTCAAATAAATTTACTTACATAAATTTATCTGCTACTTACTTCAATGAAATTACTTATATTGTTAATAACCATGTTAATAACAGTAGGATAAAAATTTATTTAACGTGAAAATAGAAATGGTGAAACTGTCATCAATAAAAAATGCTTATTGAAGAAAAAACTGCCTTTCTTAACAGTTCCAACTAGCCAATTAAGTCTGAGAATTAAATCTTTCAATTAAATTTCTAAGCTAATTTTCGATTATAAAATTATTTTAATCTTTTGTTGAAAATAATTCTTCATGCTATTTTTTATAAATGTATTTTTTACACATTTTAGAAATTTATCCAGTTTGGCACTTGGCTACCTTTCGCAATTCATTTCAAATCTACCAGTGAAGAAATGTTATCAGTTAAAAATTTATTTGATTGTTAGTTTTATGAATTATAATAAAAGAAATGATATATAGCATTAATGAAAGAGAGAGAACAAGAGAGAACGTTCGATTGCATCAAATGTCAATCCATTATATTATAAAAGTGGCCTAGTGAAATTTTATTTCTCGATATACTTTTTTGTAAGATAAATAAATTATTCATACATACATGATCCAATTTATGGCTTTAACCAACTACTACATAGATAAAATATTAAAAGTAGCCGTTCAGTAATCGACATATATATTTATAGATTGCAAAAGTGATTTATAACAATCACAAATTTGATGTTCGCTGTACGATACATCGTCGTTACCTACACTTATAGGCTGCCGGTTCAAGACTCTTTAAAAACGTAGTAGAATGGCATAAAATATTATGTATTTCCAAACCGACATAGTCGAATTTCATTTACTTTGAACATAATTTTATTCGCGTATTTTTATATTATTATCACAATCCTTTATATAATTTACGTATCATTAGAAATATTTACCTTTTATTTACAAAAACAAGAATGCTATTGAAATTCTTTATAGTTCGTAATTATTTATTAAATTTGCTCTTAATTTATAAATATAGAACAAAATCGTGTAATTTTATTTAATATAATATTTATAAAATACTAATAAAATTTAATAAAATTATTACATATAACCTTCAATTCTATAACATTCTAAATTTTCATTCAAATAAATTTCCACTCTACGTGCAATAATTATTCTATAAAAATAAAGCATGTATAAATATAATAGATTTTTATCAAAGTAATTAAAGTTATCCGTGTCTATATTCAAACGATAAAACAATCAAGACTTTAAAACAAAATAATGTTATACGTTATAACATATTCATTGTTAAATGCAGAGAAAACCTAAAAAAATATTCGGACCATATCACATTGTCTCTCTCTCTCTCTCTCTCTCTCTCTCACTCTCTCACACTCTCTCTTTCTCTCTATTTAGAAAAATAAGAAGCACTTAAATGTTGAAATTATTTCAAATTTTTGAAAATTTATAAGAATTGAGATATTTTTGAAAATGTAGCACCAAATGATATAAATTTTCTTTAGATTATTATCTTAAAGGAGGTATTCGTATATGCATAGGTTCAGTATATGCTATATGCTGTACTCATAAAATAAGTGAAATGCAATTTTCTTTTCATTTTATGTATATATATATATATATATATATATATATATTATATTGGAAATGATATATAAATATTTATCAAATGTTTTTTTTTTGTAGCGGATAAATATGTTATTCTTGCGAAATTAGAAGAAATGTAATAACAACCGTTGACTTAGCTTAGATACCATTAACAAAGCAATCAGCAATTATAATGAATTATAATGAATGATAAAAATGAAATTATATTAGATAAATAATTAATGACATTAATAAATAAAATAATGAAAAAAAGATGGCGTGTCAAGTAGCCCTATTTTGTAAACAGATAAAAGAATAATTGTACAAGAATATAGATAATTAGGCTCGTTACAATAAATTATAAAAAGTTTAAACTATTTTATTTAGGCATACAAATTTACCTAAATATAATAATAAATAGGATTATATATAAAAGAAATATCAATTATATATTTACATTCTCGTTTCCTTGATTGCAACATATTTTCAATGAATGAATAGAAGATACGTAGTTTTTCTCCGTAAGCAAAAAGTGTTAAATTAAACTTCTGATATTTATTTTCGGGTCGTAATGTTCACAAAATGTATATGCTACCATATCAGTCGTTAAATAATAAAAAATTAAATTATCTTGCATAGATTCATTCTGATTGAAGTCTCAATTTTTCACTTTTTGACTCGTTAAATACTGCACTAAAAAATAATTAAGAGCGAAAAACATGATTAATGTTATTTAAAAATCATACTATTATGGCGTAAAAGCATTTTGAAATTATTAGATAATACATTTAAAGATATAAAAGATAAAAAAATAATATTTGTGCGCGCGTGCATGTGTATCCGGTGGTGTGTGTATATATGTATGATTTTTTGTATGTGTGAATGCATGTGTGTGTATGTATAAATACACATTTCTGTGATTTATTACAATTGAAGAAGTATTGTTGGTTAAAGTATCTTAAAAATAAAAAATAGCTGTAAACATTCATAGAATATCGAAATTTGTCCTTTATGTAAATAATAAACTATTAATAATGTGCTAAAACAGGGATTTTAAAAATGTTCCTGAGCATAACTTATAAATTTAACATATTATATAAAGTAAATTCCCTATTATTCAAGTACTGAATGCAACAAAAATATGAAATAATTGAATTTTTATTTTATTTTTTAATATGTATCAGATATGTAATAAAATTAGTTTTTTATTCGTTTCATAACAAAGTTTAATCATTTTTATATTAAGGTAGTAATATAATAATTTAATTTATTAAAATCCATGTAATTATAGAAAATTTAATTTGTCCAGACTACTCACTGAGAATTGCCAATTATAATAATACAATAATCTCTATCATTTTAAAAACATTGTTTATTATATGGGCCAAAACTCTTTAGAACTTTAATGCATATATTCAATTGTCTAACATTTATCGATTAATACATTTTTCAATCCGAGACAGAGTCTTATCATTCCCTGAATATACATAATTAACATAACTATAAATATATCATAATGATATCTTACATATAGAAATTATAATTATTTCCAATTTTTTGCTCGTAGAGAGAATTAATAAGACATTACTTGAACTAATTTTTATATCTTAAAATTATTGATTGCGCACCAACAATATCTTTTTAAAAGAAATAATCAAATTCAATAGAATATTTCAACAATATTAAATATGTTTAATGATTGTATGTATAACAATTTTTCATTTAAAATAAAATATATAATTGATTTTTATTTATATTTTTATTTATACGATCATCTAATCGATTTAAAAATAGAATTATAAAAATAAATACGAAAATTTACAAATTAATTTGTTATTAAATGAATGTATTAGATTTCAGTTTAATCTGTTTTTCTTCAACATACAAATTTCGAAAATTCTCTGTATTTTTCATAATAAGATAATTAGCGAATATAAGAAAGTTTAACTAATCAGTCAACTGTTTTATGTCAGTCAGTTTAAAAAATTATTAGATTTTATGCTATTGAAAATTTAACTATCAAATAAAGATATTTCTTATGCATAATACTCCATTATATTATATATTTTATGATAAAGGATTATATAATATGAACGTATAGTAAAATATTATTTTAATGAGTCAATTTTATTCTTAAAAAGTTGAAAATATACAATTTTATAATCGTAAAATTATTGTTGTATTAAGTATTTGAACAATGTTTGCTTCAATATAAACTATTTAAAAAAAAAAAAAAAAAACCCTACAAAAGTAGACTGGCTTTTTGAATCATAATAATTATATTAATAATCTAATTAATATCCAAAGATTTTGATTCAAAAATGATTGTCTATATAAAAGATTATAAATCTATACGTAAAATTTCTCGACAAAGTAACATTTAATTATTATATAAAAAGGATTAACAACAAATATCAAAACAGGTATGTTTTACGGGTGTGCGCGCTTATACCCATATAGAAAACTACGTATAATGAAATTAAACATAAATTGCGTAATATACTTTATTGGATAAAAAGAAAAAACGTATAATCTCAAAATCCTATAGTGGTCAAGTGAAAAAGCCTGTAAAAATATAAATGAAATAATAGTAAAACAATAAGGAAATCGGAAATTCCGAATTCCAATTTGTTTTTAACATTATTTTCTTATTATAAATGAGATTCTTGTTATTGTATTGAGATTATCTATATTTTAGATTGTAGATAACATAAGTAGGAATAATATTTTACTATGTGAGACTTTGCTAATAATGGATAGCATTAAATCGAGACATATTTTCAGTGTGTGCAAATCAAGATTGGCGCAGGCCAGATTCTTACTGAAATCTCAAAAAAGCTTATTGAATTTTGGAAGTTTATTTTACATCTTTCGTAGCTTGCACAATTTTATTATCAATGAGCGATAGAGTTACTAAAACTAATATCAGATAATGGTTTTCATTATTTCTCAATTAATATAACTTACTAAAGAATATTTAACAAAATATTATTAAATTTTATATACATGTAAACATTTACACACTAATAGTTGTATGATATTTAATAAACTATCGATATTAATGTTGACTCAAATATTAGTTTTTAAGTAATATATTTATTTTCAGTGTAGTAATAAATAAGATATAAATATTTTAATAAACATAGAGTCCATAAAATATCTATGAATACTCCAAGTGAAATCATAATTTTTTATTTCAATATGTTTTATGATAATTTAAATATTATACTTCATTAAATGTGAACGAAATTTTTATGTTATTTAATCTAATTTAATATATTAATATATAATTAATATAATTTTAACAAATTAGGATCTATACATTTAAATAGCTTTAATAATATTATATCTATCGGTACTATCTATGATACACAAAAAATTTTCTTAAAACAATCAATTTAACATTGCAATTCCGTATGGATGATTGAACATTTTTATACAATTTTTC